GATAAATTGTCCACATTACCCTTGACTACTTCGACAGAATTTGGTTACTTTTAAACTTATTCTTGCTGGCCTGCTTTTCAAATGAACACATAGCATTTACGTTAAATTGTTAGTTTTCTTTCAGACAAATGACCGTTATAGTTTAATAAACCAGATTTTATTCAAATGCTATAAGAAAATGAAGATATAAGATCTTTTTAAATACTGTTTCTCCTTCAGATGGGCCATCTTACTCTAGAAGACTATCAGATCTGGAGTGTGAAAAATGTTCTTGCCAATGAGTTTTTGAATCTGCTTTTCCAGGTATGTTTAAGGTAAATGACAGGTACTGAGGGCAGTGGTACCAGTAGTTCTACATCTTTTCCATTACGCAGTAGTTGTTACAACTAGGCTACAAAACCATATATTATCAAAAGAACTACATTAACCTGTATGATGGTAAGTTAGAGCATGCGTGCTTCTCAGAATCATGATGTGAGAGATAGGAAAGTAGAGTATAGCTGATTATGTTTATCTTATAACTCATGATAGAGCGGAATGTAGACACATAGAAAATAATTTAAAATGTAAAAGCCATTACAATTTGCTATTTTTCTTCACTGTTGTCTTTTTTAAAGACCCTTTCTAACAAGTAAGGCAGTGTGAACAGAGACTCGGATCATAAGTCGGCAGCTGTAAACTTCTCACAAAGTATACGGTCTTTCCAGTCAGGAGATTATCTTAGATGCAAGGCTGTTTCTTAGTTTTCTTCCCTTCTTTCTTTTTTTTTTTTTTTAAATTCTTTAGAAGGTCCAAAAAACATAGGAGGAGAAAGGGGAAAAGAAAAGCTGCCAAGGGTGAATATGAAGTCATAGAGCTTGCCAGGTTTTAACTATTTTTCCCAGTTAAAGTCATTCTCTTTGCTCCAATTTTAAGAAACAACTTATAGTTTCCCATTTTTCATAGTTCTTCATAAATATATAAGTTGATTTAGTAATAGTATTTTACGGGGGGGGAGGGGTGGGTAGGGACAGACTGGGAGTTCGAGATTTATAGATACTGACAGGTATATATAGAATAGATAAACAAGTTTATACTGTGTAGCACAGAGAAATATATTGAAGATCTTGTAGTAGCTCACGGTGAAAAGGAATGTGAAAATGAATGTATATTCATGTATGACTAAAAAACTGCTCTACACCCTAAATTGAGATGGCATTTTAAACTGACTAGAACTCAATTTAAAAATAAATAAATCAATAAAGATAAAACTGTTAGAACACTGGAAAAAAAAATAGTAGTATTTTAGGTTTTCCTTATTTTATTTTCCTTTTCTTATAAAAGCACCCCTATGTTGATCAGTAAGGTTTGGTATCTTTATATTATCATGATCCTCCATTGTAAATAAAGAATAATCTGTCTGCAACAAAGCTATGTTAGAATAAATGGAAACTGAGCTCTTCCTGACAGCTGATAACTAATTAATGTATATTTAAAGCATATGACATCTGATAAGCCTGTGATATCCATTTAAATCAGTTGCTCCACTATCAGTTGTCAGCTAGGATTTAAGTTGATGGCTTTGTAAAATATAAATACATATAAAAATAATATAAGTCACTACTATAAACCAAAATGACTTGCTTGGTAATATGAAAATTGAGTAGCTATTTTTATCTCATTTAAAATAATATACTCAGTTACTTTAAGTCGTCATTCATTGTATAAACATTTTGACCACTTAAGTTTGTATCTGAGTCATCTTGTAGCTCTTACATAGCAAAGCATTTTGAATTTGTATCTTGCCTTTCCTGTTTTCTCATGCTTATCAGGGACTTGCGGTGGCACTATTTTTCTATGACTAATTTATAAACAAACATGATTTGCTTTTGTGTGTCAGTGTTTCCAGGTTTTTATTATGAAAAACTGAAAGATCTTTTTCATTGGATAGAGATCCAATTTTGGGGGTATATGCAAATATATTTTTTTATTGGAGTGTAGTCAGTTTACAATGTTGTATCAATTTCTGGTGTACAGCATAATGCTTCAGTCAAATATGAACATACATATATTCATTTTCATATTTTTCACCATGTTACTACAAGATACTGAATATAGTTCCCTGTGCTATACAGTATGAACTTGTTTATAAATTGGGAGTTCGAGATTTGCAGATACTAAATTTTAACATTACATTTTACGATGCTCACTTTATCCTGTATTTGGACATGGTTTTAAAACTTTATGTTCACTTTATATGTAAGTAAGCAGACTGTTATTCTAAGTTGTCTTGTTTTCTATCTGTTTCTTAAAATAGAGTTAGCTGGTAAATTCAGTGATAAAAACTTGAATTCTGCTTTTATTTAACTTGCCAAGATCCCACTCTTGGCTAGCTGTTTTGGGTATTTAAGTATAACATAAGTAAGTGTCAGTAAAGTTAGGAAACCATTCCTGTGGTAACGTCATGATTTTCAATCCTTTTTAATAAACTCAGTGCCCAATATTTTGCAGAGGAAGCATGCTAACCATGAGTGAGATCTTCTATCTTGTACATTTGTCAGAAAGTATCAAATGTTGAACAGTTTGGTAAACAGAATAGTGCACCCTGCCCCCAACCCATGTCCACGCTCTAATCCTGGAACCTGTGAATATGTTATTTTACATGGCAAAGGGGATTTTGCCGACATATCCGGTTAAGGACTCTGAGGCAGGTAGATTAGCCTGGATTATCTACATGGGCCCAGTCTAATAACAGGAGTTCTTAAAAGTGGAAAATCTTTCCCAGCTGTAGTCAGAGAGAAAGAGATCATGTTGGAAGAAGGGTTAGAAAGGTGCAAAATTGTCGGCTTTGAAGATGGAGGAAGGGGCCATGGGCAAAGGAATGTGGGTGAACTCGTAGTAGCTGGAGAAGACAAGGAAATGTATTCTTCCTTTGACCTACAGTAGGGAACACAGCCCTGCTGACATCTTGATTTTTAGCCTAGTGATACCTGTTCCTGACTTGACCTACAGAACTATAAAATAATAAGTTTGTGTTGTTTTAAGCTGCAAAATGTGTGATAATTTGTTACAGCAGTGATTAAAAAAAACAGTATAGGGGAGATAATCCATATTTATGGATTGGAGGGCTCAACAGATGTTAGTTCCCCTTCAATTGATTTAAAGATTTGTTTACTCAAAATCAAAATCCCAAAATGTTAATTGTTGTTTTTGTTGTTTTTGTAGAACTTGGTAAGCTGATTCTAAATACATAGAGAAATGTGAAGGGCCAGCAGTAGCCAAGATGATATTAAAGAAGAATGCTAAAGGACTTATTATAAAACAATATTAAGACTATGTGATAACTGCATAAAGCTAGACATATAGACCAATGGAACAATATTGAATTAAACAGACCTACATAGATGTGATCACTTGATTTATAACATTGCATTGCAGATGAGAAGGGATGGTCTTTCCAATAAATGGTACTGGGTCAATTAGTATTCATACGGGGAGCATGTGCGTCATTATTCCTACCCTGTACCATACATGAAAAGTAGTTTTAGATAGATTATAAATCTAATAAATTTGAAACAAAAAATTAAGTGTCTGGGGGAAGGTATAGCTCAGGTGGAATGTGTACTTAGCATGCATGAGGTCCTGGGTTCAATTCCCAGTACCTCCATTAAAATAAATAAATAAACCTAATCTTCCCCTCAAAATAAATAAAGCATCTAGAAAATAGTGTAAGAGGTATTTTAATGACTTTGAAGTGGCAGAGTGTTCTTAAACAGGACACAGCACTAAACATAAAAGAAGAATTTTAAGTTGGACTTCAGTAAAATTAGGAATTCTTTTTATCAAGAGATACCATTAAGAAAGTGAAAAAAAAAAAGCCATACAATGGGAGAATATATTTGCTATACCTGTTTCCAACAAAAGACTTGTATCTAGGGCATATAAAGAACAAAAACCAATGAGAAAAAGGCAGAACCTTAATATTAAAATGTGCAAAAAACTTGAACAGGTGCTTCATAAAAGAGAATATCCAAATAGCTATGGAAAGGGGCTAACCTGTTTAGTAATAATGGAAATACGTATTAAAACCACACTTGGAATACCATTAGATATCACTAGAATAGTTAGTTGTTAAGTGATATGAAGCATTAGTGAGGACAACTCGTACACATTGCCAGTGGGAATATGAATTCTTACAAATACTTGGGAAATGGGCTTTTTTAAATTAAAGTTTAACATATGTATACCCTATTACCCAGCAAGTCTAACCCATGTGTGTACCCATCAGAAACTTGTATATCTGAGCACCAAAAAACATGCAGCAAATTCTTGTAATCACTATTTGTAATAGTCCCAAACAGAAAATGACCCAAACACCTATCAACAATAAATAAATACATAAACGTAAGTGGAAGCACATGCATACAAATGGTATACTTTAAAGCAATAAAAATAAATGCACCAGTGCTACAGTCAACACAAGTGGATGAATCTTACATAATATTGAGTAAAAAATACTGGACCAAAAATTTCAAAAGCAAACAAAACCAATCCATGGTGGTAGAATTTAGGATGGTGAATACATCAAAGGAGTGCAGCAGTATCTGGGAAGAACCCAAAGTGGAACAACAATGTTCTGTTTCTTGACTGGATGTAGGTTACATAGGTGTGTGTACTTTGTGAAAAGTCACTGAACTGTACGCTTAAGATTTGTTCACGTTTAAGCATGTGTATTATATTTGCACTTTAAAAAATGTTTGCTTGCAAAAAAAGATATCCAAAGCCCAAGTTTTTATCAGTAGGAGAGTGGATAAAACAAAAGATAGTATATTCAAACAATGGAATATCACTCAACAATAAAAAAGAATGAACTACTGATACATGGATGAATCTCAAAAACCTAACTTATGTATTTCATTGTCAGGTAAATTTTAACTTAAAAGGTAAACAAAACTGTAAACAGGCATGCTGATATATTTACAGAGAGCTGTACTAATATCTGTAATTTACATTGAAATGCATGCAAAAATTAAGATGGATTAATGGATGAATTGAGGGATGGATAGATTAAGTATAATAAAATGTTAATGTTAGAAGTAGGTAATGGGTATCGGTTTTCAGTATAAAATTCTTTCAACTTTTCTGTATTTTTGAAAAGTTTCAGGATAAAATATTGGGGGGGGGGAATCACATCTTTTGTGATGATATTTAGAGAAGCCAAATAAATTGAGAAAATGAGCCTTAAAAAGCATAATTAGCCTTAGTGGCAATAATGTTTTTCTTATAGCTGTTCAAATTGAAATGCCACCTTTATGCTTCATCGGCTATATCCTTTTCGTCTCCCCTTTACCTTTCTCCTCAATCTTCAGATTTCAGGAAAGAAAATATTCTCTGCATGAGTTATATTAAAATATGTAATGTTAATGAAATATTCTGCAAAGTGGTACTTGCTTGCTTGCTTCCTTTCTTCCTTTATCTCTCTCTCTTTTTTTCTATCTTACATAGAAATTTGGAAATCGGCCTCCATTGAGATGGTTTGTTTAAAGAAAGAAAAATTTAAGTTTAAAGTTCAAATTTGCTAAAGTGAATCATTGATAATTCATTCAGTTGAGAGCTATTGCTAATACCAGCTCCCATCTAGAAAGTGGATTTCATATAGAGAATGTGAAATATTCTATGTCTATCATTTGACACCAATCAGTGAAGTTAAATTTACCATTTTTATCTCTAGGTGTGTCATATAGTTCTGGGTTTAAGACCAGCTACTCCAGAAGAGGAGGGACAAATTATTAGGTAAGTTTATAGTTTCAATCTGTGTCTTTTTCATCATAGTTGAAATCTCTTGACACCTGAAATACATTGTTACTAAGTAATAGCATGTCCCATTTTAATGTAATCATTACCACAGCACCCTGTTTCTCAGAAATAGTTATATAATGAAAATATTTTTGTTAGAGTAACTTGCTAACCAGGGGATTGGATTAACATATTTCTAAGTGTACAGTGTTATTGCTTGATATATGTATACATTGTGAAAGGGTTCCCCCCATTGAATTAATTAGCACATCCATCACAGTCACCTCATGTATTTATTCACCTTTTCGGGGCAAGGAGGGTGGTGAGAACCATTTAAGTTCTAGTCTCTTAGCAGATTTCAGTTATACAAGACAGTGTTATCAACTCTGTCACCACATCAGATTTAAAGTCCTTATATATCTTATAATGAAAGTTTGTACCCTTTTCCTAACCTTTTTTTTCCTCCAGCTCCTGGCAGCCACTTTTCCTACACTGTTTCTAAGTATATCTGTTTTATGTTTTTCCTTTGAAAAATTTCTAATGATAATTTGTGGGTGTGTGGTCATCTGTCTTACCTACCTTTTGATATGCTGAATTTCTCTTGTGTGTACAGAGGATGGTTAGAACGAGAGAGCAGGTATGGTCTGCAACCAGGACACAATTGGTTTATCATCTCCATGCAGTGGTGGCAGCAGTGGAAAGAGTATGTCAAATATGTGAGTAAGATTCCTGTTTATCTACATTTTTCATAGACTCCATCAGACTTTGTTAGACTACTGGCCAGTAATAAAATGCCCCAACCCAGATAAAGAATTTCCACATGAATTTCCTCCCTTGCAACAACTCTGTGAGGAAGGTAATACTGGGCATAGGGGTGCGTGTATATGCACCTTATATATCTCATATTATTCTCACAAGATCCCTGTGAGAAGGGTGGTATTATACCCAAATGTGGGCCCTGTGTGGAACCTAGGCTGAGTTTAAAGGCTACCTGAAAATCTTGCTCAAGGTGGACGTTCTGGAGTCAAACCTAAGGACCGATTTAATGCCAGTGGTGTCTCAATCACATCACTTACATTATCCTTCATTTGTTCACCTTTTCCATCAAAAAATTGAAGGCCCTTGGGTAAGAAGTGTTGATTTCCTGTTCAAGAAAGTTAATTTCAGAACTAACGTTAGAACTCAATTTCTAAATGATAATCTGCCATTGTTCTTAACGACGAGTTAGAGTCTCATTAGTGAATACTCTAGAGCTTTATTTAAAACAAGGAGGGAATTTTTGCGGAGCTATGAAACTGAGAAGAGCACTGCCAGAAATCAGTTCCTCCATTCCAGGAGAGACAGGTGGTATACAGACTCATTGTCAGTTGCCAAATAATCACTAACCAGAATTCTAATAATCTGATCCATATTTTTCCTATGTGTCCTTTTTTGTCATTGTTTATTTATCAGAATGTTGGTAAACTGTACATTATCTACCTCATTATTCTACCTGGTTGTTTTCCCCTTTTGCGGAGTTTAGTAGTGTCTTTTCACACATAAAATATGTTAACTGGAAATGGTAGACTTCGGTGTCACTGCAGGAATAAAAGTAGGCAAATGACTTCAGAGATCTTGTAGGTAGATAATGATGGTTCACAGAGGTAGAAATTGAGAACCCTGGGGTAAAGTCAGTGTCACAGTCTATTTTGAAACACCTTTTAGTTTTTATATTCATAGTTTGGCCGTAGAATGAATGGTTATTAATGTCTTAAGAGGCTGTAGACTCTCAGAGAATAACGTAGTTTTGTATTTGACAGATTACTTTCTGTTTCCTATAGGAACATGATAGAATCAGATCTTGCTCTTAGCAGTTCATCTCTTACAAATAGAAGTGCACTGCTAAAAACATGGACTGAGTTTGTACTTGCCTGCTACTATAACCCTTCTGTACATTAAAAGAATTAGTTGAGGATGGTAAGGGAGAAGTGTAGAGAGAGGGAATCTATACTTCAGGGCCATCTTCCCCTCCTCACTCTGGCATTTTATGTTATTGTCTAGTATGTGCCTGTCAAATGCAGACTTTGAAATCTGGTTAACTGAGAAACCTGGAAAGAGAGTGTCAGTTCATTTGCAGGGAAAGGTATTAGAGACTAATGGCGACCTGTTTAATTAGAAGGAGAAAAATGTAAATGGAATAACAGCAGTCCTTTCTGAAGATGCACGTTAATTAGAAAAGAGTTCTTTACTAAATAAAGAGTAACTTTCTTTTAAATGCAAAGAACTTTTTTTTTTTAAATGGCATTCTGGGCTTTGTTTTCCCTTTGTAAAATGAGAATAATAACAGTAACCTCCCTCCTAGGGTATTATGAGGATTAAAGGGGTTGACACATGTAAGGTGTCAGGCACATAGTAAGTACTCAGTAAGTATTAGCTAATATTATGAGAAACCAGTATAGAATAATCGTAGTAAGCTTGCACTTCCTGCGTTGGAGTACTGGTCCTGCTGTTTGATACATGACCTTGAACCAGTTACTTATCCTTTCTCTAACTCAGTTTCCTTATATGAACAACAAGATTAATTGTAATACCTACTTCAATAGGGTTATTATGAAGATTAGATGAGTTGATGTATATGTGAAGCACTCAGCCCTATGTCTGGCAGGTAATCGGTGATCTAAACTTACCTTTCCAGTATATATGACAACTTTGACAAAAGCCTTGCTTAAAAAAATAAATTGTTGTTCCTAACATGTTGGCTAATTTTATCTTATTCTGGGCTTAGTCCACCTGCCTAAGACATCGATTAGCTTTAGTTCATGTTTTCTCTCCACAAAATGGCATATTTGCTTATGTGAATTACTGATTGGCTGTGAGGGCGGACTGTGTCTTCTAGACAGCAGCATGCCTAACTGCAAAGAGAGCAAGGAAGCAGGAAGAATAAGCAGTCCTTTCTCAGAAGTGGTTTACTTCCAATTTGCTGTGATTCACTTGAGCTTGAATACTTGATCTGCTCGTGGGATCTTGCTGATCTTGTTCCCTCTTTATGAGCCAAGTGCTTTTCTGCTGTGTGAAATCTCCTTTTGTAAAAATGTAAATGGGAGGGAGGAGGGTATAACTCAGCGGTAGAGTGCTTGCTTAGCATGCATGAGGTCCTGGGTTCAGTCCCCTTACCTCCATTAAAATTAAACAAAACTAAACTAAACTAACTACCAACCCCCCCAAAATTTTAGGAAATGAAAACGAAAAGTTTAAAAAGATGTAAATAGGAGTAATGGTGAAATATTTTATTTGTCCTCGTTGTGGTATATACATTTGTCTTTCCTCCTGTTTGAGAGCTGTGAGGGAGCAGCACAGATTTTACTGTTTAGTTGTCATGTAACTTTAGAGCTAGAAAACACTTTAAATGCCTCTCTTTAAATTTACAAATGATGCTTCTGAGGTCCCTTAGGGTTTTTTTTTTTTAATTGCCCGAAGTTGTATTAGGCAATTACTCTATTACCTGATCTAGATCTCTGGAGCTCAGGTCTCTTGATTCCTACCTCATTACTTTTTACATTGCTTCATACTGCCTTTTCATTTTTCCAAAACCAGCATTGTAGACTAATGAAATATAAAATTGGCATAGCTATTAGTTGTTTTAGATCACCAATACTTATAGTATACATCTGTATAAGATCTAAAAAGAAGTAATATTATCACTGATAGAGAAGACAGTGAGCCCTTATTTTGGAACATCATAAACCATTCATATAACTTAACTTAGAAGGAATCATAAAATTCTCAAAATAGAATTATCTTACATTGAAGTGCCATGTAGCCCTTTTAAGGAATCATTGACTCAGAGAAAGTATGGATATTTTTCACCATAGGTGAAACTTGACCTCTCCAAGAGACATATCTTTCTGAAAACAGGCTTCTAGGATAGTTTCTAATAGTTCCAGACCCAGAAGTCAGGGAAAACACAGCAAGATGTTTAGGCAAAAAAATTTCCCAGAGCAACTGAAAATAACAAAGTCAAAAAGAGCCAGAGACTACAATATATGACCATTACTGGTTTTTCAACATATAGAAGGAAGGTACTAGTGATAAGATTAGTTAACTGTAAATGTTGACAATTTTACTGAAAGCCACGAAGGGCTAAAGCAGTGACTAGAAAAACAGGGCCAATAAGGAAGAAGGAAAAAGAACCTGAGTAGTGGTGAGTTTCAGACAGTGTTGGCCACTAAGAGCAGTAGGTTCCTAGAATAGAAACGAAAACCAAAGGCAGTGAGAAAACAGACACTAGTTTGGAACATTGAAAAAGAAGTGAAGAAAACCCTGTGAAATTCTCCAAGTCTAATGGTAGCATTCACTGTGCCATGTTAAAAGCAGATGGTACAATCTACAGTCTTTGAGGGCAAACATTGCAGCCTCTGATAAACTAGTCCAATCATTCTATTGCTAGATTACTGTAAAACTCAACCTGAAAGATTTAATGCCTGCCATTTTTTATCATCCTGTTCTCTTGCCAGTGATACCTGTAGAGTCAACCTATGGACTAAGCTTTTCAGAATAGGAAATACTGTAAGAACAACTTCATATAGATTTTCTTCAGAAACATCTAGGTTCCATATAAGATTTCCAAACCCATTAAAACATTTCAAATACAATTCAAATATTTCTCCTTGAAATTCTGTCAAATGCCAAACTCAGAGGAAAACTTGAATAAAATTATCTGCTCAAGTGAGATTAAGGAGAATTAATCTTTCTTTAAATATATTACTACAGTTTTTTTTCAAAAAATTAATAGGACAGAAACTTAATATAAGTGGAATAGAAAAGTGAATATAAATTTAAAAGGAAGTTGCCTGTCAAGCATTTGATGGTTATGCAGACATTATTTAAACTCAAGAACATCTAAAACAAGAATAAAGTGATTGTCTGGAAGATAGTGAGGTTCTGCAGGACCTGGGAGAAGACTGATTTTTCAGAAAGTTATTCTTTCGACTGGCTGTGCTCCATCTTTATAGGAAAGAAGCAAATAACCCCAAAGCTCATTAAAGTCTGAATCTTTTTCTAAAAAGCAAGTTCCAGAGCAAGTAATAGATTCAGTAAGAAATCATTTACTATACTCAACATTTGGAGAATGTTATGAAAACAAAAGTGTGACATTTATAATCCTTACTAGGGCAGTAGTTAACAATTCTGACTGCATAAATCACGTAGAAAGCTTAAAAAGAAAAGAAAGAGAAAGGAAGGAAGAAAGAAAGAGAGAGAGGAAGGAAGAAAGAAAGAGAGAGAAGAAAGAAGAAAGAAGGAAAGAAAGAAAAGCCAAGCCTTCGTTCCACTCCAGACCAAATAAATCAGAAAGCATAACTGCAAAAAAAGTTGGATTAATTTAAATAAGTCATTTTTGTTTACTGAAAATTTTCTTTTGAAACCTAATTTAAATGTAGTGCATTTTGTTAGTGTGGACTCAGTATCAGATAAACTGATCAATGTTATCTTTAATAAATTGCTATTAAATCTAAAAACTGAAGTCCAAACATATGATTAATAATATAAACTACTCAGGCCTAATTTCTATTTCTATATCTTTTGGCCTTTTGACTTTGAAAAATGAAAGAGCCAGGTGTTATACTAGCAAAATGAGTTTATTCGGGAATAGCAGAAAATTGTAATTGGTGATAAGCAAATGATGGTGAACCAGAGGCAAGTCTCTCTTTTTTTTTTTTTGGTTAATGGATTGAGCTCCCCTTTCAGGGCTTCCTGACTCTGTGTGTGTGTGTATATGATGGATTAAACCCAGGACCTCCTCATGTACTCTACCACTGAGCTGTGGCCACCCCCCCACCCTCTGACTACATTTTAAATGAGGTTTCCTTTTCAGTCCAATAAAATTAATTGGTATGTAAGTTAATTGGTATGTAGAAAGAAATCTAAGTTTTATTCTCATTCTTCTTGACACTCTTTTGATTAAAGGCATTGGGATTTCTTCAGAGCTGGCTTCTGAAGGATCTACAAATTAATAGTATTCACCTGGCTTACAGATCCAAGAGGAGAAAACATCTAATGAAATGTTGATACAATGTCTCCTTTTTTAGCTAAAATTAGAGATGCTGTAATTGCATTAATAGAAACTAAAGCATACACTGTGCTGTTGTTATGCTATCACTTGGAGTTTGTCTTAAATTTGTTGTTTATCTAGGGCTTCAAGACCCACTTCCATTGATCTGTTTCATCTACTAAAATTCATGTCACTGTTTATTGAATGCCACTGGAGTTCCTCTACCCATGCTTCTCAGATGCCTATGGGAACTTGTTCAACTAGTTAGCCCCTTTAGTCTTTCTCTTTACCCTCTCACTTACAAATATCCTGATCTTTTTAAAACACGGATACACATTGTCATAGCCCCTTCCCTCCTGCTTCTCCTCAAGTCTTAGCTCTCTCTGTTTTGTTTTGTTTTGCTTTTTTTTTTTCCCACACTAGTAAGCTTCTTAGAAAATAGATCTATGCTATATATAAAATGGTCTCTGCTTCTGGTAGTCTGCATCTCCTGATTTTTCTCTGATCGTTCAGACTCAGTGTCCTTCTCAGATTCTTCTGTTATCTACCCTATAAATATTGTTCTCTCCTTATTCTGCATATACCATTTTCTTGTACTTCTGGAAATCAAATGAGCCCCACATTTTTATATCTAGTCTCTTTCTGTGTCCTTAAATATCCACGTATCTCAAACCAGAATATCCCAAAATAAGCTCGTTCCCAAAACAATCCCATTCACCCATATACCTTATCTTACGAAGTTGTCAACTCTCCTCCAGTCATCTAAGCCAGCACCTCCTGTTCTGCCTTGGAAGTATCTAGGCCCCTCTTTCATACACAAGGTTTTGTTTACTCCTGAATCCATGCTCTTCTCTCCTTACTTCTGGATCTAGCTTTATGGTTTAGTGCCTCATCATCTCCTATCTGAATTATAGAAATCTTCTAACTTGTGTCTCAGTTTTCAATTTCTACCTCCAGTCCTTTCTATACACTAGAGTTATTTTTAAAGCAAAATCTGGATTATATTATTCCCCTGTTTAAAAGCCTTTCATAGAAAAATCTTGTCAATACAATGTTATGTAAAAGAAAAAGAAGCATTATGCTGTATTTAAAATGTGGTATCTGTTTGATAACAACTGGAATGCTGGTTCACATTTACTAAATGCCAGGCACTTTACATGTGCCACTCATGTAATCTTCATACTACTTCTAAGGTAGACACTAATACTGTCCTAATTTTTGCCTAAGAAGAAACTGAGGCTTATGAAGTTTACTTATTGTGAAAGGTCAGATAGCTGGCAAGTCAGTGCCCTGTCCTTAATTTTAAGTGTATTCTCCATGCTACTTAGTTTTTCCATATATGTATATGTTTTCAGTCACAAAAATAAAGGAAATACATCAAAATGTCAGCTACAGTTAATACTAAATGGTGGAATCTGAGTACTTGTGATGTTTATTTTCTTCATGGTTTTCTATATTTTCTGTAATAACAATGTAATCTTTAATAGAAAAAAGAATAAATATTATTTATTTTTTAATATCAAAAAAAGCCTTCCATAGCTTCCAACTTTAAACAGACTAAAGTCTAAATTACTTTACCTGGGAGAGTCCTTTGCAGCCTGTTCCCATTCTGCCTTACCAATTTTATTTATATATACTATTCCCCTTTGAAGAATTAAAATTTAGCTATACATCCAGATGTTTTTAAGTGGCTGTAGCCAACCACAGGAAGATTAGAAACAATAGATAATTTGGGGATTTATTTTTGAAGGCTGCATAATTGTCAGATTATTAAATTTTACCTCTTAATTTCTGACTTCATGGTTTTTAGGATGCCAGCCCTGTTGTAATTGAGCCGTCATCTGTTCTGAATGGAGGAAAATGCTCATTCGGAACAACAGTACACCCTATAGAACAGAGTGAAGATAAAATCGGAGGAGGCAGCCCCAGTTATGTGAACACCACGGAAGAGAAATTTTCAGACAACATTTCTACTGCATCTGAAGCCTCAGAAACTGCTGGCAGCAGTAAGTATGGCTTGTTTCCCTTGGAGTTTAGTCCGGGTCATCCTTAAAGGCCACAGTTTGTCAGAAAGTGTGCTTGACAGGAAATGGAGCATCAGGCTTCCATTCCCAGAAGTAAATTTTGAATGAAATGGTCAGTTGTCAGATTCTTGATTGTATTAGAAGCTTTACAAAGAGAAGCTCTTCTATATTCTACTTCATTTGTCTCTCAGAATGAAAATATTTTCACTGTTTTCATTAAGCCACATCCTTCCATATTGCTGTTAAATAATTTTGTCAGCAGATGTAGATTTGGGAAGACAGCTTTTAAGAAAATCTGTTTTTATCTCCAGAACTCTCTCTGAGCATAAGCAGACCTTCACTGGACTAAATGCACCCTCACATCAGATTCTGCAGACATTTCAGGCTGGAATTTGGGGGTTATTTTGTTAAAATATTGAGAAAGAATTCATGATGCTTCCCATAATTCCCTGCAGTCATTGGTACCTACCTAAAACTTAGTGGTTCTACACTTAGAGGGAAAATGTTTTCGTCTATTTTGGCCCTACTGAATTTAGTTGATCACTATTACTCTGCTGATACAGTAGCAGGACTCTTTTTCTTGTTCTGTTGTTATTGCATCATTGAGGTCTTTTCTCCTTTTCTGTGGAGGGAGAAGGCAAATTGGACAGAGTTAGCATTTTCTTTACAAAGCTCTTTGTAAAATCTACTGCCCCTCTTTCTCCATCTGACATTACAAGGATCACTTAGCAGTCCTAGAAATGCTCTCTCTGATCAGCTTTAAAACTAAGATTCTTAACCCTCCGTAAAGTCCTTTTTGACATGGGCTCACTCTGTACATAACCTGTGTTATCTACATGCTGAGCAGTACCATAGGTAGAAGGTTCAACGTGATTGATGGCTAGATTAACGTGTAGTTGAGAG